TATGAGCTTCATGTTTGTATGACATTGCAAAATTGCATGTCATGACTTTATAAAGCCAGTTGAACACCCATTGTGTGAGGAGCTGCAGCTGCTTTTACACCTCAGTATCACAGTATCTCAGTATCTCATTGTTTAATTAATTTTCCCACCCTCCAACCCAGATAGACAAGTTTGCTGTTGTTAACCTGTTTTTTCACCTTGGACAAACCCAGCAAGTTCAAACCAGCCAGGGGTGTGCTTTGTACCCCTTCCATAGAAATTATTAGGATCTCTGAAACACACAAACCTGACACCTAAATGACTGGTTGATGTAAAAGGAAAGGAATCTCTCAAGGTGGATCAAGGACACAACTATGAGGAAAAAATGCATTAATTCCCCTTTTAAAACTTGCACAGATTGAATGTGTCGGTGTCCCATCAAACAGTAAAATACCGGTAGATACATTTCCCATCCCCATGCTGAAAAGTGACAATAGAGTTCCACTACCATCCCCTACCTCTGGAAAAAAACTAACCTTACTTCACATTTGGACAGACAAGCTGTTGACTCACACCATAGTAGGAGATTTATTCATTGTTTTCGTTAATGCATTAAAATATGCAAACTTCATCCTGTGGCCACATGGCTGGCCAAGTGTTATGCAAAGCCTTGTCAAGGAGGACCGGCCAAGGAGGACTGCTATTGGTGGAACAGAGACACTCCCCATTAGACAACATCTCCATTTCCCTTTTCATTCTTCAGTCAGCATGTGACTAGAAGTTTTGAGGGGGGAGAAACATTCCCATGTCACCTAGTCTGCTGTTCACCTCATTATCACCATTTCTCAATTGGCCCAAAATGATCCAATCACAGCTCACGCCATCACACCTTACCCCCTTACTGTAGCTTCACATTAACAGTATTATATAATGCATAATCTGTGGTTTCATAATTCACCCTCAGGAAACACTTGTGAAATTTATAATTTGCAGTAGGACATGTTGTGACAGGACTGACTGTTACGTATTTGGAAATATTTGAATATTGCCTAATATGTTACATACATACAGTATATATTACTTAATATTCTTATATTACACTCTGTAGTACTTATTTCGTACCTATTGCAATATTTTTTTTATTTAGATAAAGATAAAAATTAAATATAACAACCTTCAACCATCTGTTTGCATTAAAACTATTGTTTCACTCACTAGATGTTCAAATACACATTTCAACTCAAAGCCTTCATCAAACCCTTTAAGGGCTGCTAGAAAACGCGATTCTCAAATCTCTTCTTCAACAGTGGATACTCGGACAGCTTCAGCTTCCTTCTTATCATCCAAGTACACAATATCTCCCATCCCTCTCTCTGTTTGCTCATTTTGGTTAATAAAGTCCAGACTGAATGTGTATATTCACGTTCTTTTTTTGTTCTCTCTGATTTGATTGTGTTGACTAAAAGTTTTACTTGCTTGTTTTTTTAATACAACTAAACTGAAATGAACAACATTAATATGCTTGCGATAATGAATGAATGAATGAATGAATAGCATGAATAATCTACTGTAACAAAACAAACATTTTGTAATAGGATCAACACGTCTACCTCGCAAACTTATTTTTGTAAGTCGCTCTTTAACTTTTCTCGGCTGAATGTAGTGGGCCTAATCTCAAATACAGACGTTGCATAACAAACTGTAGAATTTAGGCTGGGTTGGGTACAATGACAAATTGAGTCTAATACCACTTTAATAACACTTAAGATTTTGGAATGTCTCCAGAACTACTAAAAAACATGATTGCATAACTGTGGCATTGACAATGACGCAGGTTGATTTAAAGGAGCAAGTGTCACCGGATGTACCTTTGTAACATTAATACAGATTGATTGTCATGATGATAAGGTGTTATTATTTAACACACCCAAATCAGTTGACATACAGTGTAAAGAAACTACTGGCTGAACATACTTAACCCATACATTTCCAAAACAATAAGGCAGTATGAATAAAACAAAAGCTTTTGCCATAATTAAGCCATGTTGAAAAGACTTTATACAATTCTACAAGATCTACTAAGATAGAGCAAATGTATATACTCTTTATACCCAATGTAAAAAGAACTAAAATGTAATTTTGCTTCCTTGCAGAAGTACAGTAGGGCAACAGCAAGCCCCTGCAGACGTTGCATCAGCTGTCACCTAACCCTTAAAAGAAATCCCACTGACCTCAACCAAACAGCTGACTTCCCTTCTCACTGTGACAAAACTCTACACTGCTCTTCTCATTAGTGTGCATCGCCTGTGAGGAAAATTAAAGGCACCCAAAGACATTATCTTTCAGTCCGCAGCCATGTTTGGTCTCTACATCGTGCTCTGTTTGGGTGTGCATTGTTCTTTGTTTGGTCTCATGTGCCAGCAGAGCACAGGTGGTGCCTTCTGTGCTCTTTGTTGTGGGAAGAATTCTCTGAGTTCTTTTGTGTTATGGAGAAACAAATATACAACACTATAAACCTGCATCAAAGCTGTGTGCGCCACAAACAGGTATATCAATCCAAAAGACTGTAATGGTGAAGTGCTGGTGCTCATCATGAATCTGAAGCTTCATCAGCACATCGTTTCAACACTAACTGAGTGTGGTGCAGCACTCTTGGCGAACAATTTCACAGACTTTTGCGTCAGCCTGGTGCATTACAGTTGCAGCAGCCTCCGTCAGTGCTGTGATACTGGTGTAGTCAGTGATCTTGTCCATTCAAGGCTGTGGGAGTGTAACCCCAACATAACCCCCCCACCATTCAGTTATATTTAGACGCTTGACTGAGCCAGTGTGCTAGGGGAATGCACAGCTGCTGTGGTCAAACTGTGGACAGCACTCGAGGTCTGAATTTGATGATGTTACTTGAGCATTAATACTACTCATAGCTTGATATACTGTAACTGTAGTGACGTTGTAAAATGAGCTGGTCCAGCTTTTGGAGACAAGGAGTACTTCCAGGCAATTTTTAAGGTCATAAAATGCCAGCTACGTGAGGGAGAGGTTATTAGAAGTCTCTTTAGCTATGGTATTCTAATTCTGGAGACCTGAAACATGTGATAGTTGGACATGTTAAATGAACCCTGACAGAAAACACGGGGTAAACGGTTCTTCATGCATAGCTGTATTACCTTTATATAACAGCACATACAACTAAATAGAAACAATAATGGAATAGATAAATGCGAAATTCCAGATATACAAGGTAAAAGCAATGGGCACCGCTTTCTATTAACTTCCTTTCGTAAGTAATAGTAATACAATCAAACCAGTGAGTATTCATCCTATCCAACTCGTTGGTGTTGCCATGGGAGGAAAACTGCAGGGCTCCAAAACATTCATGCTTATGGTGCAGCAACCACATGTGTCAACCACAAAGTCCACTCATTAATTTACAAAGCTGCAGGATTTGAGTGGCACAGTAACAAAGCTAATTATAGTGAAAAGGCTCATTGGATTACCAGTTCAGCACTGAAAAGGCTCCGGAGATCCTTTGCTAGAACAGGATTTAATGCTAAAATCTCTCTGACTGAATGAAATTGAAATAAACATATGGAAGCATGTGGAAAGATTTATATCTTGGACCAATACAGAGAAATTTGTTGATACCAAGAGCAATCTAATTGTATTTTTCCTATGGGTACATAGATGTTTGACTCAACACTACAACATAGCAATCATCTTTGCTACACCCTCATTTGAGAACACTGCCCAAACTTGTTTTAGTGGATGCTTGGAAGTAGTAACTAACTGGAGAAGAACTGGCATTCTTGTATTCATTTCATTTGAATCTTCATGTCATATATTTATTTGTGTTATTAAATTGAGTAAATTATGCAAACATAGATTAGATTTGATCATTTTTGCCCACTAATAGAGAATGTTGTTTGGTTATGTAAGAAAGTATCAAAAAGTCAATGACAGTAAAGATAACAATGTCATCAACACAAATTCTTTGGAGGTCCAAGATTGGGTAATGTGTTAATTCTGCACAGTATTAGTTGCATTGCGCAGACCTTCCTGTAATCATGGCCTGTTTTTGCATCATCCCAGAGGGGCTGTGTGGAAGTTTCTGCTCTAGAGTTTGTTTTTATTGCTGCTGAGAGACTGGATTATAATAATGTGTATTGGGTAATATTTTCCTAAACATTATGAATCATTGTTTAATCTCAGTAAGTAGTAGCAACAATAACAACAGCCAAACCTGTTCCAAATAACCTGAGATTAGTGAGATTTACCTCAGATTTAATGCCATATAAGCATGTCGGAAATGTATGTTGGGATTGAGAAAGGGCGTAACGTGTTCTTCTTTGTTAAAGCTCAAGCAGCAGTATTTTGAATTAGCTGCTGGGTTTTAACATATGTCCTGTACATTATTAGACATTTATTATATATCTCCATTTTTTTGTTTGTTCAAGAATGTGTTTATTGTATTGTAATGTTACACAAAGCTCTGAATTGTTTGTGTAACTTTTTAAATAAGAGCATACAACACACACACATACAGTATAGGGACACATAATGGAATCATATGTTCTTGATTCAAGACATCCACCTATTTTTTTTTCTCATCTCTTGAAAGGCCTATGCAGTTAACTATTTACTTTAAGGCCAAACATTTATGACAATTGGGACAGAAACGACAGGATTCATGAATGACCTTTATCTGGATAAACAGGGAAATTCACATGTGTCAGAGTGAACCTTGAATTGATAACAAAGGTTAGACACAACAGGACAAAAAACGCTTATTCTGCCTCTGTGGTCATTTGCAGTTCACAGACACGTTTGAAATATGACCTAAGTACAAAGGGATCTCGGAGGCTCTTTGTTTAACAAAACAGTACAACTGTAAATGTGAATGCAGGAAATGGAACAAAGTGCAGGATGTGATAAAGCACTTTCTCAAGTACGAAACCAGGGAGGTGTAAAGCAGAAGAC